AAATAAATAAATAAATAAATAAATAAATAAATAAATAAAACCAAATCCAACAATGTGCTGCATGTAAGAAACACATTTAACTCAAAAGGAAATTCACAGACTAAAAGTCAAAGGATAGCAAACAACCCTCCATGCCACAGAAAATCAGAATAAAGCAGGAGTAGCTATCCTGGTTGCTGGCAATATTAACTTGAAACCAAAAATCAAAGAGATAAAGAAGGTCACTGCATACTTGTTAAGGGAAAACTGCAAGAGGAAGAGAAAAAATTATAAATATATATGCGCCCAACATAGAAGCACCCACCTATATAAGACAAAGTTTAACAGACAAGAAAAATCAAACGACCAATAATACAATAGTAATAGGGGATGTTAACACTCCACTGTCACAAAGAGATAGATCAACTAGGCAAAAAATCAGCAAAGAGCTTACAGAACTAAACCAAACTTGTGCAGAAATAGACTTGGTAGACTTTATATAGTGTTTCACCCAGCAACAACAGAATATACATTCTTCTCAGCTGCACATGGGACAGTCTCCAAAATAGACAAATAAAGCACTCCTAAGTAAATGCAAAGCAATTGAAATCATCCCATGCATACTATATGACCACAGTGCAATAAAACTGGAAATCATTGACAAAAGAAACTACAAAAATACCATAAACAACAGAAATTAAACAACAACCTCCTAAAAAAAAATTTAAAAAGAGCAGAAGCTGGAGGAGGCCACTGGGGGTGATAAGGAAGAAGAGTTCTTACCGCAGAATGTCCCCGGGTCCCAGTCCGTGGGAGGAGAGTGCTGGCCAGAGAAAGGAGAGTGCAGACACTCTGTGCTTCTCCTGTAATAAGAAGCAGAGTTTTATCTGAGGAACTGAAAGTGAGAACACATTAGAGAAGTTACTGGTAAGGGCGCTGGGACAGTGGGTAAACAGGGCCGACTCAAAAGGAATAATGAAGCCGGCCAAGTGTCGCAACGTGAAGTACATATGTACAGCCACTCCAGGAAAAGAAAAATAGCATGCTGTTCTCTCCACAGATGGTGCGCTCTCCTGTGACAGACCCTAGAGGATGTCATATAGTGCAGAAAACCCACTGCACTGCCGGCCCTTCAAGAAGAAACTGAAAATGCATGTGCAGCAGTCTCAGAGACCCAGGTTACCTCCACAGCAGTTCACTGTGCTAAGAAATGTCCAGGAGCGAATGACCACCAACTAAGCCCCTCTGGTAATGGTGGAGGCCAAAGGCAAAAAGGTAACTTGTATTAATCTCATGATGGATAGGTTCTAGCTCTAGCATGAATTGCTGAAATCATTATGGTGGTCATCCAATATGGTTGATGCCCTTAAAACAGAGCCCATCTTCCCCAAGACCACCTCCCCCTTCTTCTCCAACTTAGCCCAGAACATAATTTACTTGCACCCTTCCCGCCACCTCAGGGAAGACCCCCAATCAGCTCCCTCAGGTACACCAAAACATCTCCTCCAAACCCCAGCCCCAGTAAAGGCCATAGAAGCCTCAGCCTCCCTTTGTTCCAATCGAGAGAATTCCTCACCCTCCCCACATTCTCTCCCAAGTCCTCAAAGAAAATAAAGCCCCTTTCCTTTCTTCCTTTTTCCTGTTTCTCAGCTGCGACAAGTACCTATCAATGATGTCTTAATACATTTAGTGTTAAAATAGTTATACAAGTTTTTCTTTCCCTGAAGTATATTTACTTTTTTTTTTTTTGTGGTGGATTCTATTTTATTCTAAGAAGGTGAAGATTGTTGTGCTGCGGGTGTCTTTTTCTTTGATGATGATAAGTTTCTATTCTGGTATCTTTTAGAATCTTTGTTTTTATCCTTGGAGTTATAAAATCTCTAAATACTGTGTCTAGGTATAGGGTTTTTGTTTTGTCTTGTTTGAGACAAGGTCTTATATTGTTTAGGCTGGTCTCACATCACAATGGAGGGGTGTTGAGACCTTATAGAGATCCTTCTGCCTCAGCCTCCCAAGTTACCTTCTACCACTTCACTTTCCTTCTTTAGGGGCAGTATCCTCATTTGCTAAGTGGGAATTTAATTTTCTTATCCTTTTTTTCTCACATGTATTCTTAGTGTTTTTGTTCTACTTTCTGGATTTCATGTTCCAGCTGTCTAATACGTAAAAATTTCAGCAAATTCCCACAGTTCTTGTTTTCTTTCTTTCTTTCTTTCTTTTTTTTTTTTCCGGAATGCCTTCAAGGCATGGCTGGCTGTCTTGTGTTGTGGGGATTGAACCAAAGCAACCGGAGCCTGACTGCTTTGTTGAAGCAGCCACTTAAAGAACTGAGCTACGGGGCAGGCCCCCAGTTCTTGTTTTCTGTTCCATATTTTGACATCTAATCTCTTTTTACCCAATGAAACTTCTTGAATGTCTTATATAATACTACTGTTTAAGATCTTCTGTTTGCTGAGTCATCTATTTCTTCCATGATTATTACCACTTACCTTGATGTGTATTTTTCACATTACCAGATTTCCTCAAGTGTGTAGTGATCCTTGCTGGGTGTGGTGGCATTTGCCTGCAATCCCAGCACTCAGGGGGCTGAGGCAGGAGGATCATTGTGAGTTTGAGACCGTCCTGGGCTACAAAGTGAGCAGAGGAATGTTGGCTTTCTAAACAAAAGCACATATATATTTTTTTTTTTTTTAAAAAAAAAGTTCACTAGTCTTAGAAAAACCTTCCAGAATACTGCTTCACACTGTTCTGCAGCAAATACCGCGCATTCTGTATCTGGTCCTGTGTTCTTGTAATGGTAATGATCCGATTTTTGCTCCGAATGCCTTCAGGGCAGGTTTGGGGGGCTTGAGTTGTGGGGATCGAACCACAGCAACCTGAGGCTGACTGCTTTGTTGAAGCAGCCACTTAAAGAGCTGAGCTAAGGGGCAGGTACCCTATGACCCTATTTTTGGATCCTTCTAAAGGCTCATCAATTTTGATAGAAGCTCCCAATTCATGACAGATTTGTGTATCCCACTGACCACCTTTGCCGATAATAGATCCAGTCAAATCTTTGGAATAGTTACTTGTGTAGTAATTAATAGGTCCACCAAGATCCCCATATGAGCCATGACTGCCTGCATAGGAATAACCAATATCCAGAGCCACTCTGTGGTTCATATGCCATCTGCCATTCTGATGGGCTCCATGTATCTATTGCAGAGTCCCAAGTTTCATCAGCACTGAAACCAACCATGCCATCATAGCAGTCTTCAGGCTTCTATCATAGGTCATTAGATCTTCTCCTCTAGGTGGTGGTGGAAGAGGAAGATTCTGAGCTCTGCTACCACCTCGACCACCTCGACCAGGAGGAGGTGGTGGTGATACTCAATGAGGGCTCATGTCATCATAATCTCTTCTAGAGGAAGGCATGGGATGCCCACCTAGACCAGGAGGCATTCTGTCAAAACCACCTTTCCTCCACATAGGAAATCCTACAGGCTGTTCACAGCGGTCATCAGACATGGTAAAACCACCATAATTGTAAGTTTCATCATAAAAATTGGGATCATAAGGCTGTGCACGTCCTTTGATGGGAGACTCAGATATAAGATCAAGGATGATCTTTATGCACTCTACAACCTCGTCAGGCTTTCCTCCAACAAGAACAACTCTGTCAGTGGAATGAAGACAGGATTTTTTTTTTTTTTTTTCAGAATCAGGGATTGAACTCTGGCCCTTGTGCTTGCCAGGGAAGCACTTATTCCACTGAGCCATCTCCCCAGCCCCTTGAAGGCAGCATTCTTGGAAAAGTTTGATTGTTGTCTGAGTGTTCTCTCAAAGTTCTTTGATTTTAGCACCTTTGACCCCAATAATTCCTCCTGCCAGACTTTGATGAATTAGCAGTCTCAACTCGCAGTCAAAGTCACTTCCTTTATGGTGTTGGTAATGTAAGCATTCCACAGCATCAGATTTGAGGGGGAACTGGCTGGTTGCAGTGGGTGATGGCAACTGCAGGCCCTCTTCCAAGGTAGGGATGATTTTCTTCAGAATTTCTCCCACTGTTTCAATATCAGCCCTGATACTTAATATGCACTTGGGGCCACTGCTGTCTGGGACTGAAACACTAGCATTGTAGTCTGTATGCCAGTGGAGAGCCTTAATGCTCTTGCCTCCTTTTCCAATCACTGCCCCAGCATTCTTTTTTTTTTTTTTTGGTTGAACCAGGGATTGAACTCAGACCCTTATGCTTGCCAGGGAAGCACTTATTCCACGGAGCCATCTCCCTGGCCCTGCCCCAGCATTCTTGCTCTGAAGGAGAATTTGTAATTCAACCATCTCATCGGTGTTTCTAGATCTTTTAAACACTGGCTTCTTTTCCATATCTTCCGCAGGACATTTACCAAATTCACCATGGTTTCAGGGTTGGGGAAGGTTTCCTCTGGCTGCTCAGTTTCCATTCTCTTGTATTAAATGGACACAACAATCTGCACACCACAAACAAGTGGGATCAGGCAGGACACAGAGCTCAGTGTAGCAGAGAAGAGGAGGATAATGGTGGCCGCAGTGCCTTCACCCAGGGCGCCCTCCTCCTCTCCTGTTCACTCACTCACTAGAGAGGATCTAAATATTAACAATTTTATCATTAATACAGAGCAACTAGACACTCAAACATTGTAGAGTGTAGTATGATGTTCTTTCTTCCTTTTTTTTTTTTTTTTTTTTTTTTTTGAGACAGGCTTTTGCTCTGTTGTTCAGGCTGGCCTTGAACTTGCAGTGTGATTCTCCTGCCTCAGCTGCCTGAGTGCCATGACTACAGGCATGCACCATCAGGTTCAGCACCCTAATACAGTTTCTCTGGAGAAATAAGTTTAGCAGTGTCATGTGAATTACATATTCATCACTCAATCTATCAAATCCCTTCATATTTAGCCAAGAAAAATGAAAACATGGACACACGAAAATGCATACAGGAATGTTCTTTATTCATAACAATCAAAAAAGCCAGAGACAATCCCAATGTCCACCAGGAATAAAAACCAATCTGTGGAACATAGGCAGTAAACAGGAAATACTGATACATGCAGCAACATGAAGCCACCGTATAGTTTAATTTATAAGAAATCCTATCTAACAGGAAAACAAGTCCACAGAGATAAAGAAGAGACGAATGCTAGCTGGTGCTAAAGGTTTGGGCGTCCTGACTGTGGGGAGCCCTGCTAAGGCAATGATGTTCCATTTCCTGACTCATGTGGGCATCATGTGGGTATGCCCAATGGTCGCTAAAAACAGGTGCATTCTAATCTATGTTAATTAAAATAATATTGAAGTCTTAAGAACTCTAAGTACATACACAAGCTAATAAAATTTAAAAAAGATTCCATATTTAGGCTTTTTTCCAGTAAAATTAAATGGACTGCCTTAGAGGTTCAGTAGAATTTCAGCAACCAGATCTGGTTGTTTCATTTTGCTGTTTTGTTTTGAGACAGGGTCCCCCTATACTGCCCAGGTGGGTCTTGAACTTGTGGGCTCAAGAGATCCTTCTGTCTCAGCCTCTTAAAAGATCTGCTTTAGGTTACTAAGGACCTCTGTGAAATGATGATGCTGTTCTTAACAGCATTTATCATAACCTGGATGATTTACTGAAGTATAGATTGCCAAGCCCATTCCAGAGTTTAATTCAACAGGTTCATGGGGAGAGGGGGCCTCAGGTGTTTTTATTTTTCTTTTGTCTTCTGAGACAGGGTCTTGCTATGTAGCAGGCTGGCCTCACCCTCACTGAGACCCTTCTGCCTCATCTTCCCAAGTGCTGGGATTACAGGCATGTGCCCCTGTGCTCGGCTCAAGTTTGCATTTTTAATGCAATCCTAGAGGCCTCTGGCCCAAGC